AAGAGATAGAGAGAGAAATGTAGATAGGTAGGGGGAGAGAGAGAGTAGGTAGGTTGGTAGATAGGTAGAGGGATAGAGAGAGAGAAATAGAGAGAGAGGGAGAGAAATACAGTAGATAGGTAGGGAAAGAGAAAGAGTAGGTTGGTTGGTAGGTAGAGGGATAGAGAGAGAGAAATAGAGAGAGAGAGAGAAATACAGTAGATAGGTAGGGGGGAGAGAGAGAGAGTAGGTAGATACGTAGGTAGATAGAAGGGGGGAGAGAAAAATATAGTAGGTAGTAGGGAGAGAGAGAGAGAGTAGATAAGTAGGTAGATGTTTCCAGGCGTATTTATCCATGTGCTGGAGAAGGAAATCGCTGACAATCTGCAGCATCTAAGACTTTTTTTCACTGGCACAGCACTTGCTCGATATAATTCTCATCAATCAGTTAAAGAGCTTTCCAAAAGGGGAAAAATGTTTTTGCACGGTGCAAACCTCCCAGTTTTCACAAAAACTGGCCCGTTTTTTTTTCTCCAAAAAAAGCATAAATAGCCTTGGGGGGCTTCTAGAGTTGCTCCTGGGGGAGGGGGCAAAAATGAGCAAAAAATGGGCCATTTTTCATGAAAACGGGCCTGTTTTTTGTAAAAAAAAAAAATGCATGCATAGCCTTATGGAGGCTTATAGAGTGCTGCAGGGGGCTGGAGGAGGGGCAAAAACCGGCCTGTTTGTTGCTCATTTCTGCCCTCCACAGCCCCCACGAGCTTTCTGAAAGCTTCCATAAGGGTATGCACGACCATTTTGGTGAAGGGGGTGGGGCTTCTGGAGGAAAAAAATGCTGTATTCGATGTATAAGACGCACCCAGATTTTTGAGGAAAAAAGGTGCGTCTTATACTCCCAAAAACATAGTAGTTTCTGATTATTTTAGCTCTTTCTATACCCTGACAAAGGAGTTCCCCTCCATGCATAGGGGAGAGATGAGATCCTTTGACAGACAGTTCTTTTAGTCCGACCCTAGAAATGAGAGGGAGCCTAAATCCAAGCAGAGAGTGGAAAGGCAGTGCAATAAGGTAAGCAGCACTGGGTGCCTCAGATGGATGGGGGGAGATCCTAAGAGACAGAATGACTCTGCAAGCAAATATCTTTTGCTCAGGAGCTGAAAACCCTGCTTGGATTTCAGCAGGGAGGATTTCCAGCTCCAAAGTTGAACCTCGCAGGGTTCATCTTTCCAGGCATCCTGTCCTACTACCCTGGGACTCCCTTCACTTAATCATTTTATGACTGCAACCAGGAATGCAGGGATTGCAGTTGTTGAGTGAAGGTGTTGCACTTCACCATTTTGTTCAGCGATCAAGATTTAGGACTTAACTGTGGTCCTACTACCATTGAAAACTCCCTGTATGTATCGACATGCCTGTATGTTTCTCTGTGAAAGTGATTTGAGTTTGTTTAAGAATGTATGTGCAGATGGGAAATCAATTTTACAAATGGTTTAACTTATTTTACAGTCAACCATATCTCGATATATATCTTTTTGCCCCAGTCTTGCTTTTCGAGATGGGGATGTGGCAGTGAGTATGACTTTTGACCAACCAAGACGTGACAAAGGTAAATTATCATGAGCAGAACCGCCCCCTATGGGAATAGGCACACTTGATATGCAAGATGGATTTGTACAAAACCCCTAATGACCAGGGCTGCCACCTGATAACCAACCAGAAACCGTTAGTCCACAAGGATTCCCAAACTGTACTTTTCTGATGAAGTGCAATCCTTCCATTCATGGAAAATAAAACCCAGCTATTCAGGCTTGCTGTGGTTGAGTCAAAGCCTGTTCTTCCCCAGCCAGACTCCCATAGCCTCCAGGCACTGTAAACTACCATGGCATCACTTGGGCAGCTGAGAACAGAAAGCTACAGCTGCGTAATTCATCCCATGCAAATAGAAATCTGGTGCCAGAAGCTTATTAGACAGTAAATAGTTAGTCAATCCCTAAATTATTTCACAATCCAGGGATCTAGGGCCAGATCTCTCCCTTTTTTACAAACACTGAGTAGAGCTGTTCTTGGAGGAAGAAGTTACAATCACACTTGGAGCATTATATGGCCTGTTCCATCCTATCTCACACTAGTGGTGGTAATTAGATGCTATCCTATGGGATTCACACCTTTACTTGGAATTGAATTCATTTACATGATTATTTTTCAGGAGCTATCCAGTTCTTGGCCCTCTTTAGTTGCCAGAAGGGATATATAGAATCTATGAGAATTGCATCTGTAATCCACCTTTACATAAGATCTAAAAGTAGAAAGCAATGGTTGTTACAATACAGGGCTTAAATTCCATAGAATAACATCTGACTACCTATATCTAATAAGATCAAAATAGGGCAAATCTAGTCATATTGTACCAATCTAACTGAAAGCACCACACAGGATATGTATCATGTAAAAATAGAAAAATATCCTCTCTGCTCCAAAGAGAAAGGGTAGACATCATGTAAAATCCTATACATGGCGCATGACAGTGTAAAATTATGTTAAGTTAAGAATTATTGGATTTTAAATTAATGTTTGCTTTTGCAGGGCCAAGAAGAGTTCTTAGATCAGTTTTTAAATAAGATATGCATATAAGGAGAGCTAAAAGTAGTTAGAGGTGTTAAATTTTTACTTAACCCTGTTATTTACACCCAATCATGAACATGATAAAATCTCAGTAACAAGTTCAGAATTGTTGTCAGATATCAGCCCTGCTCTGTTACTTCTTTTCCATCTAGAGAGGTATTTAGGTCTTTTAAATGTATGTATGAAAGGGGCAAACAGATTCAAAGCACCTGTTTGCCCAGAAAATCTTGGCTATGAGGTAATTAAAACATTGCAAACATAGCCACTGCTGCTAATTACACCGAATAAGTGAGGCCAAGTAGCTCCTAGGATTTTGCAGGGGAAGAGATGGGGATTGTTCAGGAGTTTAATTCATTAATTAATTTGCTATTCATTTATTTGGGAATAAAAAACCCAAAAAACAAATTCCCAGCAGAAATCATCTAATTATGGAATGTTAAACTTTGGGAATTTGCCTTCTAAAGTAGTGTGAAGAACTAGACTTCCATAATGCTGAGCTTTAAGAAATGTTATTAGAATGTTGATCAACTCCCAAATCCATCATTCAACTAGTTTTCAGCAAAAGCCAAATTAACCAGAGATCTTCAGCTCTTAAATGAGAATATTTGAGAGGGAAAGAGGAGGAGAAAGGAAAAGAAGAATCATTAATTGAATTTCAAGAGGAATGCCTAGCAGGGACAGAAAAGGAAGAAGGTGCGGTAGGCGACATTGTGGAGCCTAAAGAACAATGAGAACTGAGATCTACTAGAACAGTAAAGCCTTCTTAAAAAGTATAAATATGGAAGAGAAAAATTGATTATAATTAATATAAATGGACTTAATTCAGCTATTAAAAGAAGGAAAACATTTCATAAATTAGAAAAATTAAAATTTGATATAATTTGCCTACAAGAAGTACATATTAAAAAGCGACATGAACAAATATTGATACAGCCAAAACTAGGGAAAATATTTACTGTGTTTACACAATGCAAGAAAAGAGGAGTGGTTTTATATATTAAAAATACAATTCCATCGAAACAAATTGATACAGATGATTATGGAAGAATCTTGGTGGAAATTATGGACAATAATATGAAAATACTTTTGATAGCAATTTATGCTCCAAATGCCAATCAAGAAGAATGTTATAAAAATTACACATGAAAATATTTGAATTGGACTGTTAATATCTGCATGATAGGAGACTTTAATGGAATAGTAGATGAGAAATTGGACTATAAAACACAAAAAACAATAAAGCAAAGTAGAAAGACTCTTTAAAAATCCTTTTTTTTAAATGATAGATGAAATAGACTTAAAAGATGCATGGAAGGAAAGAAATGCAAAAAATAGACAATATACTTTCTACTCAAATAGACACTCATCATGGTCTAGATATGATATGGATGTCAACGGAATTGATCTTTAATATACAGGAAATTGATATAGAAACAAATACTTGGCATACACAATCCAATGACAATTAAATGGAAAGGACAAAGGAGTGGCTCTAGATGGACTTTAAACAATAACTATATTAAACGAGAAGGACTTTATACAGAAAATGGAGAAAGAATTGGCTTTCTTTTTCAAAGAAAACAGAAAAGAGGACACATCAATGCAGAATCTTTCAGATACAATGAAGGTCTACGCTAGAGGCTTGATAATAGATTATACAAGGAAAAGAAACATTAAGAAAAGAGAAGCTTTTAAAACACTAGAGGATGATTACAAGAGACTTGAAAAAGTCCTACAGAAATTTCCACAAAAAAGGGCATTAAATTAAAAATGGACTCAATAAAACATAAAAGGGGGTTAATGGAAAAGGAGGAATTGGCACAAAAAATTAGAGGTGCTAAACAGAATTACTTTGAACATACAAAAAAACAGGTAGATGGTTAGCGTATAAACTGAAAAAAGAGAGAGAATCAAGAAAAATAATGCAACTAATAGATGATCAAGGGCAAATTTGCCATGGAAATAGAGAAAAGAAAAAGATTATACAAGATTACTATGGAAAACTCTATGAACAAGAGAATATAGATGAGGGAAGAGTTAAACAATACTTGCAGAAAGCGAATTTACCCCAAATATCTAAAGAAATGGAAGTGATGCTAGAAGGGAATATAACAATGATGGAGTTAACTGAAGCACTTAAAAAACAAAATAATGGAAAGGCTCCAGGTTCGGATGGACTGCCAGCGGAATTCTATAAGACATTACAGGAATTGTTGAGTCTTCCATTGCTAGAAGTTATGAATGAAGTCATGTCAAAGATGAGGTTACCCAAATCGTGGTCAGAAACATATATTACACTTGTGCCAAAGGAGGAAGCCGACTCACAACAAATTAAGAACTGAAGGCTTTCCCAGACCTGTTTTGCAAAGAGAGAGAGGGGGGGAAGGGAGAGAGAAAAAGAAAGAGATGGATAAAATCTCCCTGCTAAATTCAGACTATAAAATCTTAGGATTTTATACTTGTTCCAGACAATTTCAATTAGATTAGGGAAAGACTACTTTCATGGTTTAAATAAAATAGTGTTGAAGTATATTTGGCAGGGAAAGAAAGCGAGAATAAAATTAAAACTGTTGCAAGATTCTAGAACAAGAGGAGGATTTGGCCTGCCAAATTGGGAGTTATACTACCAGGCAACAAGCTTGATGTGGATTAAGGAATAGATAACGCTAAGAAATTCCAGATTATTGACATTAGAAGGACATGATTTGTTGTTGGGATGGCATGCTTTCCTATGGTACAGGGGAACTAAAATACAGGGGTATTTCAGAATACATTATATACGTGGCGCTTTGTTATTAAACTGGGAGAAGATTAAAAGGCATCATTATTTAAATGATGCCTAAAGAAAATTTGTATAAGATGTTTTACAGGTGGCACTTACCCCCGACGAGAATAGCAAGAATAAATATTTGTTCAAGAATAAATCCAAAAAATGTTGGAAATGTCATCAGATCCCGGGTTCATATTACCATATGTGGTGGACATGTGCAGAAGTTAAAAGATACTGGACTAAAATTCACACATGGTTGGAAAAAAATGACAGAAAAACATATAGACTTTAAATCAGAGATATTTTTATTGGGGATTTTACCAGAAATATATAGTAGAGAATTGAAATATTTGATTGTAAATGTGTTAACAGCGACTAGAATTGTATTTGCAAAAAAAATGGAAAAATTAGAAAATACCAACGCAGGAAGAAGTTATTTGGAAAATAATGGAATGTGCCGAAATGAGCAAATTGACATTTGAAATTAGAGAACAAGAAGATAAACAATTTTATAAGATATGGGATTTGTTTTATCAATGGGTAGACAAAAGAATATGGAAATAAAAGATGCTAGAGAATTTTACAATACAAGGATAATGGAATATAATATAAGGATGTACTACTACTATTGGATGGATTTAGGATGATGTAATAAAATCCCATAATATAAAATTATTCAAAATTTAGAATATCTTGCATAAAATGAAGTAATAATAGTTATAGTGAAATAAATGATTAGCAATGATAATAATTGTATACATACATAATAGATTGATAATATGAGATTCTATATAAATTGTAAGTGAAGACTATGGAGAGGATGCACAAAAGTTTTGTAACCAATCGACACATTGTATGTGTTATGTATGTGTTATGTTTTATGTTTGTGCTTGTTTGTTAAAAATTAAAAAAAAATCTTTAAAAAATATCAGCATAAATAGTACAGTTCCAAAAAAAGTGGATACTTTTTTTTTGATAATTCCTTTTCATTTTCCATTCATCATCACAGGTTCAATATTGTCATCAAGTCCTAGCTATGCATTACACGCTCACACAGGGAAACAAAAATAGAATGCTGCATGCAGACTTGACAGAAGAGCCGCTATTTAAAACCTAAATAGCTGTTGTATTGAGGCTAGAGCAATGATGACAAGTTATGTTCCAGTCATCTTTCCTGAAACATTGCAATTGTTATTTCTTGCTGTAAAATTAACCATAGTATGCTTGTGAACAATGACATACTTGTCCCTCCAAGAAATCTCTCTGAATTCCTTTGATTGGTACTTACAGTTAGAATTGCATGGATCAACACTAATAGGTATCCCTTTATCCTCAGAAAGGACCTTCAGAAGGGTCGGACCGAGTGAAGAAAGGTGGATCCTACATGTGCCATAAGGTAATGATAAAAAAAGCCTTCTATATTATTGGTCTGATGATCGTAATCTGCAGTCTTCATTAATGTATCCAGTAAAAGTTAATAAGAAATAAATTGTGAATATTTGAAGACAGGCGCCTATTGGAAGTGGTACATCAAATAGAAATAACTTGATGAATAAGGAAGCTCTAGTGGGAGTTTATTTGAGTTGAGATAAAATGCCAATTGTCTTCTAATTTTAGCTTGATGGCAATTTAGCTGTCCCGTCGTCTTAAGACAACAATGAGCTTGACAATCTTCTTTTTGCTCCAGCAATCAATCTCTAAAACTGCCAGCTTGTGGGTTTTTAGAGTTTTTAAAGAATATCAAAGTGCCTTTTTGAGGCAATGAAAAACCATTATGGCCATCACAGGTACAACAAACATTGGGCCAACAAGCTAATCTTCTGGGGAGCTCTAGGGTTGCAGACTGATTTTTCATCCAGTTTTTGTCTCCAAGGCTTTCCATTACTCAGCCCAAGGATTCTAAGATGATTTACAGAATCATTAATTTATAAAAAGATGCAGGTAGATACTGCAAGATCAGTATAATTGAATGGAAGGTCAGTGGTCCCTGCTTTGGGTCACAGCTAAAAATATGTTAAAATCTATTTAACCTAAGAGGAAATGAAGAAGACAAGTTCTTCTTTTGTTTTCATATTTGTTATTACTTATTTGGTACTATTCTCCTCCAATTTTTCCCCCAAATACCCCTATGGAATTTGGGAAGGGGTGGTGGTAAAAAAATGGTGAGTGCTGCAAAATCATTCCAGTGAGTTTCTATGGCTGAGAATCAATTTGGCTCTTCGCATCCCTATTATGTTTAGTCACAAACAATTAGAATAATAGGATCTCAGACAACCCAGGTAGAAATTTTTAGAATTTTGCTGGCCATATTGACTGGGGGTGAAGATCCTTTTAGCAGGGGCTCCGAAATTGCGGCCCCAAAGATACACATTTGGTAGCCACAAGGCTTCCACAAACATTTTGCTTGTATGTTTGTTGTGTTAGATTTAGAAGGTTGTCCACTTATACTCTGGGCAATTTATAACATTAAAAAGAAAGCAAAAAGAAAACCAAGAATATACATGCTTAGATAAAAATAACCCCCAAATCAGCAAAACAAAACAAAAGAAAACAAAAACCATGCTATACAAAATTTGTCAATAAACTGCCTTATTCCAAATCTAGACATAAAACCATGTTTTAAAATCTTGCATGACTTTAATGGGGTGAAATGAATTTCCAGGCAATATGTTTAATTGAAGGAACCTGAAGCATCTCACTCTGATCTTATTGGATAGGCTGGAATCATGGGAGACAGGCGGTCCTTCAGATAACTAGGCTCTTTGCCACGAAGGGTTTATAGATGACAACCAGCAATTGTTGGTTCCAGAGCGTCTACATGGATAGTCTGGTAGTACATGTTTAGATCAGATCAGATCAAGAGTTGGAAGAGACCTTATAGGTCATCTTGTACAACCCTCCCCCGCCCCCCCGCTCAAGCAGGAGACCCTACACCATTTTTGACAAATGGCAGTTCAATCTCTTCTTGAAAGCCTCCAGTGATGAAGCTCCCACAACAATCTGTTCCATTGGTTGATTGTTTTCATTGACAGAAAGTTCTTCCTTATTTCTAGGTTGAATCTCTCCTTGGTCAGTTTCCATCCATTATTCCTTATCTGACCTTCAGGTGCTTTTGAAAATAACTTTACCTTCTCCTCTCTGTGGCAGCCTCTCAAATATTGGAACACTGCTATCATGTCTCCCCTGGTCTTTCTCTTCACTAGACTAGTCGTGCGCAGTTCCGTTCTTCATATGTTTTAGTTTCCAGTTCCCTAGTCACCCTGGTTGCTCTCCTCTGCACTTTCGTTGTACATGTTATAGTAGTCCAGTTATGAGATGACTAGGGCATCTGAAGGACTCTTCCACCCTCTAGTCCAGGAAGTGGCACAACTTGACCATAGGATGAACTATATATACAAAGGTCACCTCACCACAGCTGCCATCTGTCCCTCAAGCAATTCCTGCCAAATTGTGATTTTTAAAATGACACAAAGGAAAATGAATCATGAACATGATAAGCAATCATTTTAATTGCATTTAATTACATTAAATTGTTTTTAGTTAAAAATGATACATTTCTTTAAAATATAATTCAAATTAAATGTAGTTCAGTTGTTGTCCTGGCTGTGCCTTTTTCTTTGTCTTGCTCATTTCTTGGCTGCAGCCTCACACCTCCCTCAGAGGTCACTCACATCTCCCATGGTGCAGAGAAGGGAAAGAATTGCACTGAAGGAAGTACTTCTTATAGTGTATTTTTCAGCATATGGAAAGTCATGAAAGTGTTGCCTAAAAAGAGAACATCTGGAAAATTGAGGATGAATCCATTTTGAAAATATTAACTCTTAGCAGTCAGTAACTGATTTAAAACAAGACTTAAGCAAATTTTATAAATGGGAAGATATCCATGTGCCTCTGCACTCATTTGGCTAATTCCCAATGCAATGAATGCCAAGGTTTTTTTTTAAAAAAAAACCCTGTGCAAAGCAAAATAATGTTTAATTTATTCTAATTAAAAAGAATGTACTTTTTCTTCTGTAATGTTTTAAAAAATCTTATTTAATAAACATTGAAAAAAAATTCTGTGTAACACAGCTGCCATTTCTTTTATGACATCAAATATTCTACTTGATCTTATTTGGAGGTGAAACTAATGTCACACATTAATTAGCAGATCTGATTAAAATAACAGGATAAAAGTTTTCGGTAGAGATAAGCATTATGGCCCATTTTAGTCTACTGTATACAGGATATGTTTTCTTTATTAAGGCTGCTAAAAGTTCCTGCTACTTTCAAACTTGAGAGCATAGTTAAATAGCACATAATGTTTATGAAAAATTGTTTCATAAAGTCTCTGTTCATCTTGAGTGTATAGACATAATAAAGCTAAATACAAATCGAAGATAGTAAAACTTTCTTATCTTCCATTGCAGTTATGTGAAGCACTTTTCCTTAAATATAAAAAACGAAAATCCTAATGAATCTTTCCCTCATTTTTTTAGTTGAAAAAATAAAGTTCCTGCAACTTGATCTTTTTGCTATATTATTTTATCAGAAAAGCACAAATGCATAAATTTTGTTAGATTTTTTTTTAAACTGGACTTTGATCATATTCTAATTTATTTTGTATGACACTTTAAGAACAATTGATGAGAGATAAAGTAACACTTCTAGATTTAGAGTTATTAAATGCTGGCTTATTTTTGTTATTTTGCCTGCCAGCAAATGCTTATTGTGAAAATAGAACCCAAACCAGTCAAACTGTGACAAAGTATTATTTAAGGAAACGTTTATACTTAGAAAATCATTTTGTGCTATACAAATATATGTATTTCATATTTGCATAAAAGAGAAGCAGGCATCATACAAACCCAATATTCCTTTTTGTCTGAGGTTTCCTATATTTTTGCTAATCCCAAATGTGCAGAGCATTCGAAATTCTCTCTTGAGAATTGAAAAAGAAACCCAAATGCATGATATGCAAAATTATATATATTTAAAGCTATTATTTTCTTTATGTTTATATGACATAAGTCTTACTAAATTACTTTATTAGGAGAAATATCAAGTATAAACATAGATTTTCTTTATTACAATGATGTTTAGAAAGATACAACTATTACACAGAACATATATAAAGATTTTTTTTGCTGATTGTGCTCATTATTTGTAACTCCACTGTAGTAGAGAAATGTATCATTAAAAAATTAACAAAAATAGCTTGTGGTTCATTACTAGCAAAGCCATATCAGAAACCTTAAATTTCTTTGGAGGAAAAAATTGCACAAGAAGGTATACTATCTAAAGCTTTAATATTGAACTTATGAAAATAAAAAAATGTATATTCAGTGTAGGATAGTACAGCACTTTTTAGATAAAATTAAAATATGAATTTTACTATGTAAAGGAGTAAATAATAAGTAATAAAAGTTTACCCATTGAAATAGATTGGTGTTTGCTACCACTTTATGTTCCTAGATAATATTCAATAAGATTTTTTTAACACTGCAAACAGTAGTTTTTTTATTGCCCCCCCCCCCCCAACCAGGAAAAATTCCTGGCAAAACACATCTGAAAATATACAGCGAGTCCCTATAAAAAACTGCTGTTCAGAGAAGCAGTGGTTCCATGTGATTCATTTAGCCCAATAGTCCCAGGATTATGATTAACTTGGAGATTGGAGGCTGTAAGAATAGAGTCAGAATGCATTTTTCTCTATCATTTATTTTTCATCTCAATGTATCACCACAAATATTCCGTCTAGCATAGACACTGTGACACTCCACTGTGACAAGACACTGAAATCACTATGGCAACAAAGATCTTATTATTTGCCTACAGCTGAAATTCTCGAATGATAAAATGGTATCTTTTCTAGCATGGAATAAAATTAAAGAGGTGTTAAAAAGTGAGGAGGAAGTTAAAAAGAAATTAACCTGTATCTTCCAACTGGTAAGAATCAAATTATCTTTGGGTGCCACTTGTTTCTGTCATGATGGGAAGCACCTGTTTAGTGAAGTCTAGATAGAAAATCACTCCCTTCCATAACTAATAGTCTTCCTGGCAGCTATTGCATTGCCATCTTGGCAAAGCTGTTATGATATGTTTCATCCATGGGAACACTTGTGGTAATCCGCTCATTCTCCTTCGTAGTCCTATTGCTATAGATATCGATGTGCAGCCCGAAGCCAAAATACGCCTGACAGCTCAGCTTCCAATCTGGGGTTCCGCTGTGCCGCTGACAGTCTGCCAGACTACTTAAAGTGACAAAGCTTGACAGCCCTGGAGGACAGAGAGAATCTCACCAGGTTTTGTGAAAAAGGATGCAGCTCAAAGATTCTACATTTGTCGTGCCAAACGAGAAGACACTGGAAATTCTGAATCTTTCAGCCAGCAGCTTTTGTTTTTTTTTATCCCTGGTTGGTGAAGAACCTAGGTTGCATTTTCATTTAATGTGCTTAACGCAAAATACATTTGATCATTGAGTTGCTTTAAATTTAAGAACTAAATCATGTCAGGCATAGTTTTTTAATAAAAGGCATTACCATTCAAATGATAGATCAATTTACAGAAGTAATTAAGTATCTTATATTTATTTATTTTTAAAAATGCATCTAATTAAGATGGAATAGCACACATTGTTTGTGGGGATAAAAAACATCACAGATTAATCTGATCCAAAGAAATTTCAAAGCTGTTTGTATGTTATTTATGTTATGTTTATCTTACTTTCTTGTTCCATTGGTTTCAGTGGGTCTTAAATCCAATTCACATTCTTCAAGATTAATAATTTTGAAAATAAGCCATTATCTATTTACTGAAATATACTGATGTAATTTATGCTTGAATTAGTATGATTTATTGTTGCTTTTCCTAAAGATTGTTCTTATTTTTGATAATTATTGATTTCTTCAGCAGCTATCACTGAGAAACATTCCTGACCCAAGCCTTTGAAGATAACTTCCTAGGACCTCCTAGGACCCAGTGCCCAAATTTTGGAGGTCACTGTTTCTTGGCCCTCTCCCCACCGAAAGAGTTCCATGGGGCAAATATTTACAGTAAGTGTTGTGTTCAATGGGCACCTGCACCCTGTGGGCACTGGAATCTCTGTGGGGCAGCAAAAGAGCTCTCTCTTCACGAAGATAAGCTTTTTATTAGATGGTCCCCTGTTTGTCCTTTTAATCAGATTGCAGGGCCCAAGCAGTATTGGAATGTGTAGGGAACTCCACTCTACCAGGAATAATAGAAAATAAACAATTTTTATATAACATAGAATAAGCCTGTGGGAGGACAGGCTGCCTGCAAAATAGCCAGCATCTGGGCTGTGGTCCCTTGCCCCTTTAAGATCTCTTCCTAAGTAGCCCAGCAATTTGTGGCTATGAAAGCTGAGTAGAAAGGCAGCTAGGTGTGGCAATGTTTTTGACATGAAAGGGAAACTGGTTTATATTTGGGAGATTGCAAAAGTCTGAAGCAGCCTAAGGCAAATAGAAGAGTTATTGTTCGGCAGAAGTAGGGGTCACAAAGAGAAGTAGTGGAAGAACATGAGTTGTATAGAATTGGGGAAGAGTGGTAGAGCAAACAGTGAACACTAGCTTTTTTGAGTGCTTGTGTGTATGTTGCCTAGAGACCAGTAATGGTTATGTTGGCTCTCTGAGGTTTTGGAGCCCACTGATTTGGATATATGTAAAAGAACCTGTGACAAATTTATTGGGAGATAAGACAGTTGTACCAAGTATTAGGAGGCTGGACAGGTATCTAAAAGGGAAGGGAAGGGAAGGAAGGAACCCCATTAAGGACAGCAGCCCTGGTGTGCCTGTCTTATACCCGCCATCTTGATTTGACTAGTTCCAAGAGTCTTGAGGTTCTGGAGCTAAATCCCAGGTCCAATCAAGAAGTACACTCTTCAAGCCTTTGCTTCTCTGAGAACTTCCATTGAATAACCTCTGGGGACAAAGTAACTTCTAACTCCTTGTCACTGAATCCCATCTTGTCTCACATGGGAAGAGGACAGTTATTTTAGAATCCTCTGTGGAGCAGGCACCTCATTCTACTACAACAGAAACTTTCACCAGGTGATGTAAGGAAAAATGTATTTTTCCTTAAATGACTCCTTTTAACTATATGATTCTGTATGCAAAGAACCTGAGGGTTATAGATGGAAGCAGCTGCCAATATCTTTTCAGGGAATTACTACGACAATCCTGAGATAAATCATCTGTATAATGCAAATATGGAAAATGTGCATAAAGGCATCTCAGGTTATTATTTTTTGTACATTCTTATTACAAAGTATGCTGTTATTTCTTTTCAGCAGACCTTTGCAGAGCTGTAGGAGGTGTCTAATAAAACTTTGGAACTCTTTGGCTAAGTGTGGTTACTTAAAGGAATATATAAAACATTGGGATGACAAAATGAAGCAAGCAGTATGTATAGTAAATAATGTGATGCAGCCCAAATCCTGGCTTACTGTCTTCAGAGCTTTTAGCAAGTGCTGTTTTCAAAAAAGTTCTCCACTTACTTGAGAACAAAATCAGGGTGGTTTCTTAACATATTTAAAATAGAATAACAGTTGGAAGGAACCTTGGAGGTCATTTAGTCCAACCCCTTGCTTGAACCTATACCATTTCAGAAAAATGACTTCCAGTCTCTTCTTGAAAGCCTCCAGCGATGGAGCACCCACAACTTGTGAAGGCAAGCTATTCCACTGGTTAGTTGTTCTCGCTGTTAGGAAATTTCTCCTTAGTTCTAGGTTTCTTCTGTCCTTGATTCATTTCTATCCATTGGTTCTTGTTCTGCCTTCAGATATTTTGGAAAATAGTTCCCCCCCCCCCATTATCTTTGATTAAGACTAGGAACACAAGCTAGAAACAGGTAGACAATCAAGGAGCCAATAAGTGCCCTTTCCATAAGGAAAGTCATCTATATAATACTGTCATGAGATACAAGTTTTGAACTTACCGTATTTTTGGGAGTATAAGACGCACCTTTTTCCCTCAAAAAAGAGGCTGAAAATCTGGGTGCGTTTTATACATTGAATACAGGATTTTTTGCCTCCCGAAACTCCACCCCCTTCACCTTTAAGAGCTGAGGTGGCACAGTGGTTAAATGCAGCACTGAAGGCTACTTCAGCTGACTGCAGTTCGGCTGTTCAAATCTCACCAGCTCAGGGTTGACTCAGCCTTCCATCCCTCCGAGGTGGGTAAAATGAGAACCTGGATTGTTGTTGGGGGCAATATGCTTACTCTGTAAACCGCTTAGAGAGGGCTGAAAGCCCTATGAAGCGGTATATAAGTCTAACTGCTATTGCTATTCACTGAAATGGCCGTGCATAGCTTTTAGAAGGCTTTCAGAGATCTCCTGGGGGCTGGGGAGGCCAGAAATGAGGGCAAAAGGGCCCGTTTCCCCCCCCCCAGCCCCCAGGAGCACTCTATAAGCTTCCTAAAGGCTATCCATGCCCTTTTTGTTACAACAAATGGGCACGTTTTTGTTCATTTTTGCCCCACCCCACACCCTCCCAGGAGCACTCTACAAACCACCTAAGGGCTATTCTTTTTTGAAGAAAAAAAACGGGCCCGTTTTTGCGAAAAACAGGCCTTTTTGGGGAAGTTTGCAGAGTGCAAAAACTTTTTTTAAAAGATTTTCCTCTTAAGAACCTTGCTGCGTCTTATACTCCGAAAAATATGGTAACTTTTTAAAAAGCTGTCTCCAGATACTATAAGTTATGCGTTTCAGATTGTAGCATTTTTCTACACCACAATACAAAAGGTATTTTGGGCTGTGAGAAAATGAGTACTAGAAAACACTAATATTCTGAACCGAGTTCAAACACATCTGTATTTGTCTCATAGCTTTGATAGCAAAAGAGTTCAGATAACCACCTTGATATCAAAAGGAAAATTGTGCTCCAAGTATCTTTGGAAGATAGTACAAATCACCAATTGACAAGTTATCTTTTCTTTATTTTCATTCTATACAATTTAGCAAGTTTGCTTATTTTCCGAATTTCTCCCTTAACATTTGGGGACCAGTTTGGTGTATAGGTAGTTCTCATAATGGCACCTGGGATTGGAATTTCAATTGCTAAGCAATATGAATGCATGACATAGGATTACTTTACTTGGCAACAACAATCCTAGCAGTGGTACTTGCTGTGATATCTCTATGAACATATGGGTCATTAAGTGGAAGAGACAGGAGTTCCAGGCAAGGAACCTACTGGGGGAGGGAGGGGCTAGATGCCACAGGAGAGTGAGTCAGTGGGACAGTGATGTTAGAGAGCATAAGTGGGCACTAGGGTTCATGGGCAGAGATAGCAGTGTAATCAAATGTGGGACAGCTAGAATTTTTAGGACTAGTCATAACTCTTTTTTTACACTGCCATTATGATTTTAAGCAGTTTTGAACAAATGGACATAACCCATTTGAGCTAATGGCTGCTCCACTCCCTCAACTGCAAACACTCCCTGTTTTCTCACAGAACACAAGTGATCCTTCAACATACACTCAGGTGCTTATCCCCGTTTTCCTTTTATAATTGAAAACCAGGTATGGTGCAATGCTCTTCAGGCTGTCTTAAAGTCCCAGGGAAGAAAACAAAGGGAAGGAAAAGCTCACACTGGCCCTGCAAAGCTTTGCAAAACTGACTTGAATATAAGAAGCTTAAATGAAGCCTCTTGTGGGAAGATTCATAGAGCCATTCCTGAGTGTGGATCATTTTTGATTCTGGAATTTCAAGTTAGGAATAAATATGAGTGGATGTTTATACTATTCTAGTGAAAAGCAGAAGTACCGTGTTTCCCCGAAAATATGACATGTCCTCATAATACTGCCATTCCACATTTTTCTGGTGGGCAAAAATATAAGCCCCCCTCCCCCCTACATATAAGCCCCCTAGACAACTTCCCATCTCCCACCAAGCAGAGCGCTGCTCACCAACCTAGCAGTATCCTGAAGGTGCCAAGCCGCGGGAACCTGGGTGGAGGCAAAGGTGATTGTGTTGCTTGGCGCCTTCGGGATACCGCTTGGTTGGTGAGCAGCGCTGTGCCCAGCTGAAGAGGGGGGTTGCCGAGTGGCTGCTCTCTTGTGAGCGGGCTCCCAAAGAGCCGGGCACAGCCTCATGGGCGAATGGCTGTGTTGCGCTGTCCCAGCAGTGCAACACAACAACCATGAAGTGACCACCCGGAAAACCCCTTTGCTCTGCACGGCTGGAGAGGGGGTTGCACAAGCGGCTGTTCCGCTCTTGCTCACCCACCTCCCAATGCATTGCCCAACTCTCATTACGGAGCCTGGGCACCTCCGCTGGCGCTCACATGGCTTGGCGATACCCCTAGGTCAGTGAATGGTGCTGTGCCTGGCTGCAAAGGGGGTTTGCCAGGTGGCTGCTCGTGAGTGTGGTCGGTTCATGGTTGTTGTGTTACAACAGCGCAACACAGCCTTTCTCCCATGAGGCTGTGCCTGGCTCTTTGGGAGCCCGCTCACAAGAGAGCAGCCGCCCGGCAACCCCAAAACAATAAACCCTCCCCCCCAAACCCCAAGCCATATTTTGTAGGTAAAAAGAAAATAAGACCCTGTCATATTTTCAGGAAAACACGGTACTTAAGGCTTTCTAATTATCTGAATTAAACATCTGTCCGGAATAACAACTGCCCCACTGAAGACTTCTCATTTAATTATGTAGTGAACTCACTATTTTTAATTCATCAAAATTAAGTACCAATCTATTCATGTTTCCACACTGAAAAATATGGACATCACTCTAACTACTTGGCCTTTGGAGAGAGGCCCATTAGAATATCTGTGTAATTTGTGTAATTCTTAATCACTTGCTTATCCATCCGCATCATCGAAAATTTTTGTCAGTCCAGCTGGGAACTAAGTAAATTACAACTTCTCCTACAAAATCTGTATTAGTTTATGTCACAAGTAATCAAAGTCTTAATGCAAAAAGGGTATTATGCTCTTTGAAGCAGCAATGAGCTTTCATGCTGAATGCCACAGGCTAGTGTTCTTTGTCCTGATTTTTCAACAACAGCTGAGGTTGGCATCTTCAGTTATTATAATAATACATATATTGTGATGTTTCTTTGCACTATGGAGTTATTATTAAAGCATTCCTCTTCTATCTCATCATATACAGGAAAGAGGGGTTTTTTTGTATCTGAGGCCTGCTTAAATTAGTAGCTTTGATTGATATTTCTGTATCTTGTACTAAGCTGTGTGTGAAATAGGAGAAAAAACATAGACAACTAATGCTGCACGTCTATAAGCAAACTAATGTCGACTGAATCCACAGCCCCACTCCCATTTTAGGGTTGAAAAATTACACAGGTTTCAGGATGGGAGTGTGATACACAGTATTGATAGTATAGCATTTCTTCAGGTTTCATCACTACCGAACGATCAGGTTGGGAACAAATCCCCCTGGAAAAAAAATCTATGTATGGTAACTAAGAGTCCGTACTGATCTGATGGCATATACCGTATTTTTCGGAGTATTAGACACTCTGAAGTATAAGACGCACCTAGCTTTGGGGGAGGGGGGTAATCTGCCTCCCAGCAATTTGCCTCCTTGCAACAAACAGAAAACAGTACAGACAATATACACTGTTTGTAGTGTTACATTTCAGACTGTACAGATGTTGTTAAAATGGATGTGCTTTCTGGAAATATAGTTATACTCTGCTATTTAAAAGACTATACAATAGCACTGGGCCTCTTCAGATCAAGCATTTATTTTAAAAAGCTTCTTCATTTTGTCAAGCTGTCTAGAACAATAATAAAGCAGTCTTTAAAAAATAAGTCTAATAATTTGAACATTCTATAGGCATTTATAGTTATTGACTTACCTCCTTGCAGCAAACAGTCTGATTAGCACAAGAAAAAAAAATCTGCCTCGCAGTAATTTGCCTTGTGGAGCAAACAGCAAGCTTCACTTTCAGTTTAAGTCCGCCTCCCGATCATCAGCTATTTCAGGCTGCAGGGATTGCTATAGCCTATTGCAGCCTCTGCAAGCCACATTTTCCCCATTTGCTGCAAGGAGGGAAATTGCTGGGAGGCAGAGGCCAAAGGTTGGGGGATGGTGGGTGGGTGGGGCTACATTCAGTGTATAAGACACACCCAAATTTTCACCCTCTTTTAGGGAGGGGAAGGTGTGTCTTATAATCCAAAAATACAGTAATCATCAATTAGAAGTCTTCATATTCCCCTTCTAGTTCACATCTGAACTTGGGAGATATCTCAGCAATCAAGTGAACATTCAGATCCCTGCTGTACCAACATATGATTACTGTGGAAATATGACCCCTGCAGTCAAATAACAGAATGGCAGAGCACTGGAAGGGGCACGCTTGTGTTCACACTTG